GGGCAAAATTTTTTTGAGGTCATTTTTGGGCTGCTTGATCTGTTTTTCGCGGCTGATCAAGCGCAATACTCAACTCCTAAGCTAAGCTAAGCCGAAGCTCAGCTAAATCGAGCTGAAACAGATCTAAGCCAAAGCCAAAATCTGTGAAACAATGAAAAGCTAAGCTACGATGAGGGTACTTCACACCGCCCAGAAGCTAAGCCTAAGCTTAGGCGAAACTAAGCTTAAGGCTAGGCTAAGCTAAGCCTGAGCCTAAACTAAGCTAAGCTACGCCTAAGCTCAAAGAAAAACGAAGAAGTATGACCCAAAATGACCCAAAAAAATTTTGCCCCCCCCTAACTTGAATAGTACCGAAAATTCTATGGAACTAAAGAATAAATTTTGGGATCGGATTGTGAAAGAAAAACTGTAAGGATAAGGAAGAAAAATAGGGAGAAAGCTAAAGTAAAAAAAATAGCAAGTGTGGCTGGCAGAACAAAAAATTTGGCAATTCTCTTTGTATGTCCAGCTAGCGGCGTAATACCCATTTTATCGTCAATTAACTAGCTTATTAATGCCTTTGAGCTCCTTCGAGGTAAACAAGATAATATTTATTGAACTATACTATATTTATCCGCAAACATAGCGATTTTTAACTTTAATTGTCTCATAGCCTGAGCAACATGTGGTCGCCGGAAAGGGGCACTGTTTGGGAGGGCACTTCTCAGTTTCTTGAACGTTTCCGCTAAAAAAGGATGATTTTTTAGATAGACGATTCCCATGATGTCCAAAATCGTCAAATCCGTACACGCAGTTACAACCAGCGCTCGCCTCGTTGCAGGCTCGCTTCCGATTCTTGGTTCCGCACATTCCACAGGTTTTCGTACACGTGGTCCAGCTTCCCCATGCTGCCCACCTCGCGGCGCATGCTTTCTAAATGGGTTTGCTAGTCCCTGGGGAAGCGCTTCCAAAGTGGTTCGATGTTGTTTCTGCGACTCACAGTGGTCGTTTTTGGTTTTGTAGTTGTCGGGGTTCTATACCGGTAACGGGGACTATAAAAAAGATCGGGTACTATAAAAAAGATCGGGTACTATAAAAAATATCCGGTACTATAAAAAAAGCCGGTACTATAAAAAAGATTGGGTACTATAATAAGTATCGGGTACCATAGGAGATATCGTGGACCATTGGCCGGAATTGTGGACCATAGATTCCCGAATTTTTCGTTAAGGTCCACGGTTCGAATCGTGGACTATAGAATCGGGATTTCAGCCAGATTATGGTCCCCGATTCCGACAGGCGCCAAAAGCTGGGATTTACGCAGCGCAGATGCCTAGAATCGCTGGTTAAGGTGTTTTTACGCAACTGTGTTCACAATAAATATTATTAATACTTTATTTAACCAAATTTAGACTGTTTGCCTTTGAAATGTGGTATGGTTTGAGTTTATGTTTGTTTGTCTGCAACCCTCAGGTGGATCAGCACCAGCCATTCCTCATGCAACTTACAAGGAGACGTTTTTTGGTGTGAATGGAGTTCTGAGTGGAAACCAGGCCTATTTTGTGCAGAATTTTGCGCTGATTCCGAATATGTTTTTCATTTCTGCTAAATAGCTCGATTTCAAAAGTTGTTGCAATTTTAAGATCATTTTAGCCCAAATTTTCCCCTCTTTAGGGACCATTATATTGTTTTTCCCGGCCGTTTTTTCAAAAATAAATATCGTCACCGTATTCAGAAAAATTTTCTCTATCGAATGAGCTATTTAGCTCAAAATTGTTGAAAATCGAAAAAAATCGACGATACTTGGTATGGGCAGCGAATTTTTGTATGGGAAATGGTGAAAAACAGCCTATTTCTCACCCCTGTAAGCCGCTCGTCGATCGTCAGTAGCGCACTAATCAAATATACCATTCGAATCAGAAAAAAATTCTCTACAAGATAGGCTACTTAAAATAAGTTAGAACATTATAACAAAAAAGTAGCACAGCATAGCATATGGCTACTCTGGGCCTAAAAATTATCTTAAAATAGCTGCTTAACTTTTCAAATCGAGCTATTTAGCAAATTGGAAAACAGCATCGGAATCAGCGCAAAATTCTGCACAGAATAGGCCTGGTTTTAACTAGAAAACTCCATTCACACTAAAAAACGTCTCCTTGTTAGAAAGATACGTTAAACTCGTCAAAAGCGCAAGTGTCCGGAACTCGAACAAACCATAAAACAAACAAAATAAACACAAACTCAAACCATACCACATTTCAAAGGCAAACAGTCTAAATTTAAGTTAAATAAAGATTAATAATATTTATTGTTGAACACAGTTACGTAAAAACACCTTAACCAGCGATTCATAGGCATCTGCGCTGCGTCAAATCCCAGCTTTTGACGCCTGTCGGAATCGGGGACCATAATCTGGCTGAAATCCCGATTCTATAGTCCACGATTCGAACCGTGGACCTTAACGAAAAATTCGGGGAATCTATGGTCCACAATTCCGGCCAATGGTCCACGATATCTCCTATGGTACCCGATACTTATTATAGTACCCGATCTTTTTATAGTACCGGATATTTTTATAGTACCGGATATTTTTTATAGTACCCGATCTTTTTTATAGTACCCGATCTTTTTTATAGTCCCCGTTACCGGTATAGAACCGTTGTCGGTTTTGTCGTTGTCGTAATCTTTTCGGTCGTTTTAGCAGACGTCTTGGCATCATAGGCAGAGCTTGTAACTCCCGAAGAGCTTGTCGACATTTTTGACGCCTAAAAACTGCAGTACTAATAGCTCCGAGCAGGAAAAGCAAATGGAGAAATCTCCACTCCTGGAAAGCGGTTCTGGGCTATTTCGATATGTTTTTTTTTCTGCGTCTTACCGTGCTAGTTTTGGGTTTTGTAGTTGTGGTCAGTGTTGTGGCCGTCGTTTTAGTGGACGTGGTGGAGTAATAGGAAGAGCTTGTAACTCCCAAGAGCCTCTTCGTTGTCGACATTTTTAGAGGCTAAAGAACTTCTCTGACTGAACATCGATCTTATAGATTTCCAAATTCGGCCCCTTATTTAACTCACCCCAAATTCCTGATCATCTCGAAAATAGTTGCTTGTGCTATCGTGCTCCAGCGCGGTTCCGATATCTGCATCATGTAAAAGCTCATCTTCCGTTACACTCCCCTGCATGATTTTCAGCACTGTCAAGCATTGGCATGTGTCATTCGAAAAATAGGCCACATATTCGGCCTGATTTGGTTTGCCCGCAAATTGCGAAACAGTCAGCGTTGAAAAGTGCCGATCTGGACACGTAAATGCCGTCATCGGCAGTGAGCATTCGAAATGATGCACAAGAAATAGTCCAGGAAAATGAAGGTAAGCAAGGGCATTTCCTCAAATTTAGGGGGTAGTAAAGTGCAGTCAGCCTTGCACGGGGTTGCCAGAAAATCGGGCCGCTTGGAAACATAATGGAATTCCAAAATTATTGCGGCAATTTTGGAAAAGATGTTTGGATGCACTACGCATTCACAGCGCAAACGAATTCAAGGGGTTCTGGCAGAAAAGTTCGTTTTGATGTTTCGATTTAGATTTCTCTTTTGGTGATTCGGCGATTTTAGGAGCATTGTGACCAACGTTTATTTGTCCCCCCCGAAACCGATGGCGAGAGTAACCTGGACTAACACATTTCATTCCGAACAGGCACATTAATTGACAGTCCAAAATCTTTGTGTTTGCGTTGATTCTGCTTTGCGTAGCCACCAGACATGAGGTTTTGTCTAAAATGCCATTTTGGTACAGTAGAATGGTCAACACTTTTTTGGTTTTTATACGGACGGGAAGCTGGGTATGTCGACAACTACAACTACGCTTAGAAACACGCCTAAAAACTAGCAAGGGTGGTGGTTTGCGGTTATTTCACGTACTTGGTGGCTATTAAAAGGGCGTCCGCGGTCACCCCGAACAAGGCTTGGCACAGTTTTTTTGGACCCCTGTGCTTTGATGCCGTCTTGATAGGCGTGGTCGAGATTAGAGGATTCGCAGTAATTTGGGATTTTTAAAAAATAACATTTCGCCGGGGTTAAACAGGGCGTTAAAGTTGCCAACGTCCAAAATTTATCCCGACGACTACTTCGACAGAATTGGCTGAAACTTTGTGGCTGGAGCCTAATTTTGGATGAGGATCTTTTTTCTAATACATCGCCCAAAGCACGAAAAATTAGCAGAACCTAGTTAAATTGCATACCCAAAATAGTTTTCCCGAATTTTAAATTAACGGCAAAGTCGACCGCAAGCTATGGATTAGGCTAGAAAGATGCGCAAAATTTTTCTGCATCGATTGATGTATAATTGAGGTGGCGACCAGGTCGCCGTTTTCTTACAACTTGAAGCTTTTTTGTAGCTGAAAAATGGTCTGAAAATCAGACTAAAATGGAAAAATTTTGCGATTTTCTATGTTTTGACCCTTGGGATCACATTTAACGATCCCGCCAAGCTAAACGCAAAAATTAGCAAAAGAAATTCGACATGTGAAGGGTGCTTTACCTGGGCGGGAATCAGACCCGGACCCTCCACCTGGGATCCCGTGGCACCAATGAGTAGAGCGTCAACGTGCCAATCCAGAGCCACCGCCAGTTCAATCCAGCTCCCTCTCAGAAGCCGAATTTCTTTTGCTCTTTTGCAATCGACTTGGCATGATTTCCTTGATGCGTTTTATTTACTCCGATATGTAAATACCAGAAAATTTTTCATTTTAGTCGGATTTTCAGACCATTTTTCAGTTACAAAAAGCTCGCTGTAAGAAATCGGCGACCTGGCCGCCACCTCAATTATACATCAATCGATGCAGAAAAAATTTGCGCATCTTTCTAGCCTAATTCCAGCTTGCGGCCGACTTGCCGTTAATTTGAAATTCAGGACAAACTATTTTGGGTCTGCAATTTAACTAGGTTCTGCTAATTTTCGTGCTTTGCGATGTATTAGAAAAGTGATCCTCATCCAAAATTAGGTCTAGTCACAAAGTTTCAGCCAATTCTGTCAGGTAGTCGTCGAGATAAAGTTTCGACGTTGGCAACTTTAACGCCTTGTTTAACCCGGAAATGTTATTTTAAATCCCAAATTACTGCGAATCCTCTAATTCGACCACAATCTATCAGATGTCGTAAAAAATAGGGCCCAAAAAAACTGTGCCAGGCTATAATCAGGACTGTTCGAGTGATTCCGCGGACGGCCTTTAAGATCTAATTTCGCGCATTCCCAAGCGTTGTCGACACCAGCAGCAGCGAAAGATAGGGGCGA